TCATTTTTCACCCTCAGTCACTGGCATGTCATTTGTGACCACTATGCGCATGTAACTGGGTCTTGTTTTGTGTGTCGTAGAGTTACAGTCGTTGTTTTGTCCTTCTTTCCTTCCTTTTATTTTCGTTCTTGAGACTTCTTTGTGAAACTCTGGGGCTGATTTTTGATATTTGGAAACGTCTTTGGCATGGAGTAGTTACTGTGCATTAGGCCCAATGTTGGGCACTGAGGTCACGGCTAATCTGCCCTGGAGGAATTCACGGGCTGTGACACATGACAGAGGGTTGACACGTGCTGTTGTTGGGTGTTCTGGAGTTGGGTTTGACCCATGGAGACTCCACGTGACAAAGTAGAACTAGACTATAATCTCCTTTTCAAAAAGTCTGTGATCTTTATGGAAGCCGATCACTAGGTTTTGTTTTTTTAATCTCAGAGCCACTGGTAGGACTGGTAGGTTTGAACTGCCAGTCATTTGGTTGTCAGTCAAGCGCTTAACCACTGTGCCACCAAGGTTCCTTTCTGATAAGTGCTGAAAACCAAGCTCACTGCCATTGAGTGGACCTTTAGTTACAGTGTGAATGGAGTGCTAGAGGTGGACCACCTAGGTAGAAATGAGGGTGGTAGTCCCAGAAGGCTTAGGCACTTAAGCTTAGGTTGGAGAGAAAGTTGGGTATTAGCTGGAAAGAAGGAGGGAGAAGGGAGTGACCGAGGGAATAACCTTTGTGAAAGCCCAGAGGCCTGTGTCGGCGGGACGTGGTTATTCAGCGAAGGGAGTAGGGTCATTTCGACCTGAAGTGAAGGGATATGTTTCAAGTGGTGTTGGGTAGTGAGGGGCCAGCCCTGGAAGATATTAAGTGGCACAATGTGGCCTTTGCAGAATTTTCCAGCAGCTGTAGGGGCCGGGAAGGGCTTGCAGCAGGGCACGGTGCAGTCAATTGGAGAGGAATGAGGGAGGACAAGGAGGGTCCTTGGGCCTGCTGGTGGCTGCAATGAGCAGCCACTGGGTGTGGTCCCTGTCCTGCAAATCAAAACCCAACGCAGTGCCATCAAGGTGATTTCAGCTCATGGTGACCCCACGTGTTACATAGAACTGCTCGATCGGGTATCTTTTTTGACATATTATCGGGAGAGACCAGCCCCTGGAGAAGGACGTCGTGTTTGGTAACACGGAGGGACAGTAAAAAAGAGGCAGGCCCTCAATGACATGGATGGACACAGTGGATGGAACAATGGTCTCAAACCTCACAACAATCTGAGGATGATGCAGAGCCGGGTGGTGGTTCGTTTTGTTGTACAAGGGTCGCTGTGAGTTGGGACTGGCTCGACGGCTCCTAACAATAGCAGTAAAGGGGTTTAGGGCCGTGGTCAATATGAAAGCAGATTTCTAGGACTGCCTTCTTCTGAAGAACCAGTAGGTAGGTTTGAACTACCAACCTTTAGGTTAGTAAAAAGGAATAATCGACCAAAGAGTGGAAATAAAACTTTCTCAAAATCAGTCCCTCAGGGCTCACCCTTGTGGTGAAGAAACTAGATGGGGCCAGGCTACCAAAGAATAGCATCTGGGGATCTAAGCGAGGCATCAACTCAGTCCATGTGGAAGAAGCACACCCACCTGTGTGATCCAAGGATTGTAAATAATATAATCCAAACCCAAAGGAGGGAATGGTGTTAGAGCTTAAATTAAATTGTGAACACCTAGTTGCAGAAGGCTGTGGATGACAGTGTGGAACCAAAATGTATTTTCAGGGCCCACACATGGTCCACACATGGATTAAGACTCTAGCGGATTCCCTCTGGTCATAGTTTAGGGATATGAATAGCCCTGTTATCAAGCAGAAAGGATTGTCAAGTTGATTATGACAGGTGTAATTAGGTTACAGTGTAGTATTTTATCATTTGATCTCCCTTTTGACCCATGTTAAAGCTGTTTCAGTTAAACAAAAAAACAGTGAAGGGGAAATACACATGGATTAAGCCCCTGGTGAATCCCCTCTGACCATGGACCAGGGATGCGAATACCCTTGCTATCATACAGAATGCACTGGAAAGTGGATTGTTGCA